GTAAGATTGAGTATTTTGAAAAATACTCGGTAAAAATACACGCGTATTCTTATTTAACATGATATAAATATAAAATGACATAACATACAAAAAATCTTAGATTTAGAGCAAATTGGTTTGAATGTCCAATATCTCAAGAAATTTCTTAAGAATTCATATATCTCGTAAGATTTACATATTTGACCAAACGGTCTATCCGAATGATTTAACATAGAAATCGACCCCGAATGCCTTATAGTATTTCATGCCAAAATTTATATAAATATTAAGAAATAAGAATTTACCACTTGCATAAAGTATTCTCACCTTAGTTGATACTCAAAGAAAAAGAAATCTTAGAATGCAAATAATGAAGTTGTGTAATTTCTCAATAGTGTACGGGTGAAGTGAAATTGCAAAGAATGAAGTGTAAATGAAAATTCTATCATAATTATATTACATAAACGTAATGAACAATGCTAGAGTTACAATAATTTTGACAATCCTTTTACATACATTTGGTGGGGTTCACTATTAAAATAATCGTGGGCCCATGAGAGAGGGCTGCTAAAATTACTGTATAATTTTGACTGTACATTAAGCATTTTTGAAACGTAATATCCATTAACCACACAAACAAAACGTCTCAATCATAATTGCGAAGAATTCAAGGGTTAAATAAATCAATTTATTGCATCAATCAATCAATCAAGCGTCTAGGACTTAATGTAAAATGGGTGATTGTACATGTTTTTCTAAAATGTTATTTTTATATATTATATATATTAACAAAATATTAAAAGATAATCGTTTTCTTTTTATTAGAATAACTTGGACATAACAAGTTAAAAATTACTTTTTCTTGAGTCCAATTTATGTTATTTAACACAAGTTACAAAATTTGTATAATATTTGATATATTTTATCAACTTTTATGATGCTTAAATACTCGACCCAAATCAAATTTACGATAAATTAATACACACACACAAAAGTAATAAATCATTTTTAACTTTTGGACTTTAGTGTGATGTCGAGTCTAGACATTGACTATATCATTTACTAAATGACCAATATTAAGTTTAGGCCCTTATGAAAATAGTAAGAAAATTCGAGGTGTTACATACTTGTTTTTAGCTATATAATGATATCCATCCCGCCGTGGTTGAACACCAATCTAGATGACGATTATATAGTATAAAATAATAGATTTATTTAAATGCAAAATCACATGACTCTTTTAATTGAATCTATAAAGTGTTGCAATCTAGACTTGTGCTCAACCCCAATGAGAATAAATAACATTATTCTATATAATAACATATGTTAATATGTGGTTAAAAGTGAATTTTAAAATAGTGATTTTGAGAGAATGTGATTAATAAATAAGGAAAAAATTTCAATTCGCGTCTAAAATTATTTTATTGAAAAATGTGTGATTAAAAATGAGTTTTGAAAAAAATTGAGATCAAACAAGCCCATTTTTTTATGCAGAACAAAGATGATTGGACATCTAAAATGATATTCATATCGCTTCTCCAAAAGATTATTTATTTACAAAAAGCATTTTATGCATTATAAATAGCATCTTTAAATTTAAAAGTCAAAATTTTTATGTTCTCCAATAATGTTCTCTATTTTGGCTGTTCATTTTATTTTTTTCAAAAAAGAAACTTATTGATTTTATCTCCTCATATTTTATTTTAATGTAATTTTTCATATGTCAACGACTAATTAATTTTAGTATAGTTTAAGAAATAGAGTATTAAAATTCGTGATTTATTAAATGAAATTATTATACATTAAGAATAGAGAGTGAATTTAACTTTCTAAATTTGGAGAGTCAAAAGGTCAACACACTCTCTATTTAAAAAGTTAAAGTAAAGAATTTCTTAGAACTTATTTTTAAATATTAGTTCATTAAAATAAAGAGCATTTTATATTTAAAAAGTTTTTCGAAGATGTTCTAATGTCACTTAATTGATACCTAATTAGTCTTCTCAAGGCAGTTTTCTTGCCTTGTGAAATCCTTATATTCAATAATTATTTTTCATAAAATTTCAGCCAAACATGTGCTTAATTTCAAGCATATGTTGATAGGGCACGGTCAGATCCTTGTCTGCATCAGCATGTGTTGAGATTTTAGATTTTTCTGCTTTTCTCTAACAAGTGCATGTTACCTTGCTGCAACGCGGTTGTTGAACCTCGCTAAAGAAAATATACATTTAATTTGACTCACAATTTTACTCACTTTTTAACCATATATTTTAGAATTAATCAATATGTACATTAATAGGATTGGACATGGTTCGGTTCGAATATCTGGAACCGTCGGGTCCAAATATAATTATTGAATCGTTCGAGTTCAGTTCGATTCCGTACCATAATTAAATTTTTAAACATATTTCTAATGGTCAACGATCGGTGGTCGTGGTTGGAGGTTGATGATTCGATGGGCATTGAGAGGGGAAGTCGGAATTGGCAGTCGGTGATTTCGATTTGGGCATATAGATGTAGGTTTTCAATTTATCAAATGATTTGTGGTCATTAACTCAGTGGTTACCGAAATGAAAATGTGAAATTAGAAAGAGAATGAGATCTTGAGCTAAGAATGAAATTAATAATATGATCAAAAAATTAAATCAAAAAATTGAATTTAGAAATTGGGTTGAGTTGGGCTAGTTGGCATGGACTTGACTTGAGAGTTATGACATTAATCACTAAATTAGTTAATTTGCTATTTTGTTTAGAAAAATTAAAAAAACTTAATTAATTCAATATAATAAATTAAAAAAATTATTTAAATTCGGTTCTGGGTTTAAAATCGAGAATCCAACCAAACTCGTCGGTTCTTGAATACCCGTTCGGGTATTTAATTTATGAAGAACTGCTCGATTCGATTCGACAGTTTTGTCCAACCCTAATATATAACATTATTTTTTTCAACCATTCATTCTCTATAAAAATTTAAAATATATACACACACACACACATTGTGTCGTAGAAATATTGTGTCGTGGAAATCAATAATCATGATGAAGTCCACGTGGAATAGTGTCAAACTTAATGTAAAAATCAATGAAAATATAACATGATTGTATATTTTATGAAACTCTCAACTTATAATCTCAACAAAGCTGGACTAAATAGGGACATAGTAACAATTATATGCATTACTCTAAGAATTGATCGAACATACCATCTCGAATAAATAAAGATATTCAAAAGTACTTATAAGAAGACTACATACTCTACCTTATTACAAAGGAACATTCGAGTCTCGGATAACATTGCCTAAATTAAATTACATAAAAGGAACATTATTGTTATGTTGTCTAGTTCGATACGATTAATTATTACTTACTGGGTGATGCTAGTGGTACATCGGGGATTACACCCCGCTCTTGGCAACTCAAGAATTCATCATTTTTAGGTAAATGAGAAGAAGATTGTGAAGATGTTTTCCCACAAACGTCATTGATAAGGACATTCAAAGTCTGCCAAGAAGAACCGCCGTCTTTGGTTGCGGCGCATGCAGCGTCTCTCATTTCCTCCACCTTCCGTCTCACTGCTTTACCCCTTTCCCCTTCCATTAACTCTTTCACCATTTGCTTCACCTCCTCCGCAGCCACGAACCCCCGGACAGACCCATTTGACGGCATAAGTCTCAGCCCTACGCCGATTTCCTCTGCCACAAGCCTTGCATTCAGGTTTTGCTCCGCCATCATTGGAAATGCTAAAATTGGCACATTAGCAGATAAACTTTCCATCACTGAGTTCCATCCACAGTGACTTAAAAACCCTTTTACTGCATTGTGATTTAGGATTTCCATTTGATCAACCCATTCTTTAACTATCAACCATCTCTTTTCAAAACCGTGTAAATATTCCAGACCTTTTGACCTGAAAGCCCACAGAAAACTCACCTGGGATATCTCTAAACCCTTGGCAATTTCATCTAATTGTTCTTCTGAAACTTCTGCCTGCGTTCCGAACGAAACATATAAAACTTTTTCTCCTTTTGCAGATTTATCGTCTAGCCATTGAATATACAGTGGCTTCTCCATGGCAGCCATAGAAGGTGGCACTTGCTTAGCTACACCGAGTGGCCCTACACACCAAGCTTTTGGCCCCATTTTTTGATTCCAATAATCAACATAGCTTGATTCTAGCTCATAAAAACTGTTGACAATTAAGCCATGACTTTTCGCCTCGGCAAGGACTTGCTCCCCCATGAAATCCACCCATTCTCCAGTGGGTTCAATATCACATAAAGGTGGAGCAAAGTCATTTCTTGTCAACTTCAACTTGGGAAAATCAGGAATCAGAAAGGGACTATCTGGTGAAACTGCTCCGGCATGTGGCCTATCATTTACCATTATTTGACACACGGTAGTGGAAAAAATTCCCATGCCGGAAAAAACCAGCCTTGGAATCCCGAGTTTTGCAGCAGATTGTTGAGTCCAGCCAAGAAATGTATCAGAGATTATGCAGGAAACAGGCTGAAGATTTTGAATGGCTTTTTCAAAATCATGCTGCATATTTTTTGTAGCAATAGCAAAAGGGAGAAAACAAGCCATGGATGGCAATTTATCAGTGTTTTCAACACCAGGAGGTACCCCATCTATTTCTTGCGGAAATGGGAGTTCAACAAGTTTAATATCAGTGTCCTGGAGAATGGCCCGAATGCATGGAGAGTTTCCGGTGGTGGTGAAAATTGTGACGGCAATAGAACGCTGCCGGAGGAGACGGCCTAGATAGAGAAGAGGGATGGTGTGACCTTGAGACATGAAAGGGAAAATAATGAAATGGGGGACTGAAATTAGAGCCATTTTTTTGGAGCTTGAGTCTTTTTTGGGGCAAGATTTCTTGTCCTTTTTATAACCATTCTGAGCCTCTTGGGTCGGCCAGTTAGCAGTTTAGTGAGAGCAAGACAGACTGGAAGAGCATGTTTGGCAAGGATTTTAATGAGATTTTAATAAATTTCTTGAATTGAATAGACATGTGAGGGGATGTGAAACTTAATGTGAA